AGAGTCAACATCAAGTGGATTTGAAACTGGAATAGCCTGTCCCCCATGAGCCGGACTATCAGGAGATGGTGGGAACTAAAAAGTGGGAAGGTATGGAAATGTAGTAGAATCATCTTCTGAATCAGATGTGGTTATAGTTTTGAAAAGAAGAATATCTTCATACAAATCAACATCTCTAGAAACAATAATGTCATGTGTGGTTAAGTCAAACAGCTTGTAACCTTTGATTCCCATAGGGTAACCTAGAAACAAGCATTGTCTGGCTCTGGAATGAAATTTTGTTCTGTCACTGCTCAGACTGGAAGCATAAGCTAAACAACCAAAAACCTTTAAATGGTCAAGAAAGGGTGGTGTTTTATACAAGATTTCATATGGACTCTTGTTGTCAAGCACAGGTGTTGGTAGCCTGTTGATAAAGTGAACTGCATGTAATATACAGTCACTCCAAAACTGCAAAGGAATCCCTGATTGAAACCTTAAAGCCCTTGCCACATTCAAATTGTGTTGGTGCTTTCTTTCTACACTGCCATTCTGTTCAAGAGTAGCAACAGAAGACATTTGGTGTTCAATCCCATGTTTATGGTAGAAATCATTCACATGGAATTCCCTTCCTTGGTCACTTCTTATGGTCAATGTAGTCAAAAGTTAGTATCTAAGTAGAAAATTTTGATGATCTAGAAGCGTAATATCTAAGTTTTTATGTTTTAAAGTGAAGTTTTTAACTACGTAAGTTATAAAAATCGAGATTTTGTGTAGAAGCATTTTAGTGACCTAGAAACATAAAATCGTAAGTTCTTAAGTTTTAAAGCGCGATTTTGACTACATTGCTTATGGTTTTAACTTCCTTAGCAAAATGTTTCTGCACCATGATGCATAAACCTTGAAGTAATGATCTTGCCTCAGATTTGTGCTTCATAAGATAAGTCCATACAACTCTAGAATTATCATCAACCACAGTAAGAAAATAGGAAAAACCATCATATGATTCAACTTCCAAAGGACCCCATATATCAACATGGATCAAACTAAATACATCATCAACTTTGTTCTCACTTAAAGTAACGCGTAAACGCTTGTGTTTTGAAAAATGACAAACATCACAGTGTTTCACTCTCTCACTTTGAATACTGGGATTACATTGTTTAACTAACAAAAACTTGGATGTCCTAGACGCCAATGCCAGAGGTTGATCTTTTGTGGGAAAAACTTGTAGACTGAAGCTACTGAATGATTAGGCTCACTCTCTAGACTGGCAGTTAACAGGTACAGACCTCTACTTTGTCTTGCCAAGCCAATCCTCTTGTTGGTTACAAGGTCCTAGACAAGACAAGAGTCGGAGTCAAAATTTAGTGAGATAGGTAAGTCATGAGTTAACTTGCTAACTGACAAAAGGTTGAAGCCAATCCTCTTGTTGGCTATAAGGTCCTGGACAAGACAAGAGTCGGAGTCGAAAATTAGCGAGATAGGTAAGTCATGAGTTAACTTGCTAACTGACAAAAGGTTGAAGGTGAAACTGGGAATGAGAAGAACATTATGTAAAGGCATCCCATTTGGTACCTTAACAAATCCAGTGTGTGACTAGGACTCGACTTGTTTGGAAGATAAACATAGACGTCCTTTACTGGTTGACAACTAACAAACAATGACTTAGAGCAAACAATGTGGTCAGAGGCTCCTGTGTCTAAGATCCATGATTGACAAAGGAAAGCTGAATGACAGTGAATATATGAGGAGATGATGTATTTACCAGCTGAGTTAGGGAATTGAGGCATCTGCTGTGAAGCAGAAAAGGCAACATGATGAATACTTGGTGAATGAGGTGGTGAAGGTGATGGAGAAGGTGAGTTTGGTATCCCTTGCAGTAAAAGCTTCAACTTACTCAACTCATCATTGGTAAACTGCAAGCTCAAAACACTTCCAGTACCAGAATTACCAGAGCTCTTGCTACCAGAGCCTCCATTAGAGAATGACTCATAATTCCCTTCATTCCCTTCATTAACCGCTCTAGCAAAACGCTGGCCATTTCCTGAACCCTGTTCCTTGTTCTTCCTTTTCAACTTCCAGCAATCAGCAATTGTGTGGTTGTTTTTCTTGCAATACCTGCAAAAGAGACCAGTATCTCATACTTCAAAAGTATTTGACCTTGGTGGTGGTCTCCCTGCAGTATTTTCCTGGCCAGATTGATTCCCGAAAGAGGCAAGTGTCACTGGCTGGGCACTTTTACCCTTATCTCCCTTCAACTTTTGCTCATGCTGAAGCAAAGCACCATAAGCAGCAACCACTGTGGGCAAATGATTCATCATGAGTAATTGAGTCTTGACTACATAAAATGCAGGTGCTACTCCTCTAAGAAATCTGACTAAGTAGTCATCTCCTGTTTAGTCTTAAAAGCCTCCACTACTGGACATGGAGTCACCTGTCCTGGAGGACATGTGCAAGGAACAATGGGATTGAATTTGGTATACTCCTCCCATAATCCCTACACAAGAGTGTAGTACTGAGTTATAGTCATGTTTCCTTGCTTGGTAGCATAGAGTTCATCCTCCAGGTTGGTCAACTTGATGGCATTAGCTTGACCAAACCTGTCCTTAAGTTCTTCCCAAAGAAGTTGTGCTACCTCATGACTCTGCACCTTCGCTTAATATCCTTGTGTAAGGAGTTCATAATCCAACATAAAACAATTGTATTGCAAGCATCCCAAGCCCTATACTCATTAGGGTGGGTTCTCAGATCTGGTACTTCAATCGACCCATCAATGAACCCAAGTTTATACTTGGTTTTAAGAGCAATGTGAATAGACCTAGCCCACATCTGATAATTACTACCATCTAATACTTCTGAAACGATAGACTGAGATAGATTCTCGTTAGGGTTTTGATAGAAAGGGTTACCAAAGACGAACTTTGGTGAAATGGTTGAAGAACTTCCACTAGTTTTCCAGTAGTGTCAGTAGTTGTTGTAGCCGTAGCTGACTCTTCATTGTTATTGTTCGCCGAAAGACTAGAAGTCCTGGACGGGTGAACGCTGCTCTGTGTTGGGTTGGTCCAACTCATATGGTGGTTGGATTAACCGGTTTGAGTTTGAGTTTTGGTGGGTTTCTAGAAGATCCTCTATTTTCAAAATAGAGAGTTATTGTCTACTTAAAAGTAAAAAGAGGGTTCAGCCTTTCATCTTCCTAGAGAGAGAGAATCAGAAAAGAGAAGAGATAAGGAAAAGGAGAGAAGAGAGAAAGAGCTGCTGTTTTTCGTCTCTGCAGCAGGGCAGCCTGTTCAAGTGAGCGTTCTGGAAGATTGAACCGTTGGATCGTCCTGAAAATTGGGCAGTGGGTTTGAAATTGTCTGTGCTTCATTCTGACCGAAGGGATCGTCATTCTGAGGTCTAGTTCGTCGGTAATCTCTGCTGGACAGAAGGTGTACGAATCTGTTTTTGGGTATCTCTCAACCTTTCTTTGTCTTGCTCTTGTTCTTGTTATCCACCATGTTGGTGAGAGCTATTGTGGTTGATTGTTGATCCAAGAAGGGTATTCTTGAGGTATTTGTAATCCTCTAGCTAGTCTAGAGAGGACTTGTAATCCCACCAAAGTCTAGTGGAGTTGTGGCTTGGACAAAGGTCCCGTGGTTTTTCCCGATTTTGGTTTTCCACGTAAAAATCGTGTGTCTTGTGCATTCTATTCTTGCTTGTGGTTGCTGCCCGGTTTCTCAACAGTGGTATCAGAGCATTAGGTTGTTTGGGGGCTGTGTTTGGTGAATGGCAAGAATGGATGACTCAAGTGGAGCAATGATTAAGTTGACATCATCCAACTACTCTATTTGGAAGCCACGGATGGAGGATATTCTGTTTTGCAGGGATCTCTATGAGCCAATTGAAAATGGCAGCGAGAAGCCGGAAGACAGACCGAGAAGCAATGGGAGGTCTTGCATAGAAAGACGGTGGCAATCATTCGACAATGGATTGACCAAAGCATCTTTCATCATGTTGCAAAAGATACAAGAGCAGATGAATTGTGGCAGAAATTGGAGTCCATGTATGAGAGGCAATCGGCTCAAAATAAAGCCTCACTCATTCGAAGAATTGTGAACTTGAAGTACAAGGATGGGCATAGTGTCTCGGAGCATTTGAGTGACTTTCAAGGGCTTGTGAACCAGCTAACTACTATGAAGTTAGCACTTGATGATGAAGTGCAAGCATTGTTACTTCTCAGTTCTTTGCCGGATAGTTGGGAGACTTTGGTGGTCTCACTTAGCAACTCAGCACCTAATGGCAAGTTGACGATGGACATTGTCAAGGATAGCATGTTGAATGAAGAGGCAAGGAGAAAAGAGTTGGGGATTACATCGGAGTCACATGCTTTGGTGGCGGATAATTCCGGAAGTCATGGAAGAAGCAGAAATCGAAATTCCAACTTCAAGAACTCTCAGAATCGAAGTAACAGCCGAGGGAGATCAAAAGGGAGATCGAAATCATTGTCAAGACCAAGAGGAGAAATCACATGTTATCATTGCAACCAGCCCGGACACATGAAGAGAGAGTGCAGAATCTTGAAACGGGAACAAGCTAGAGGAAAAGGTGTGGAAAACCGAGAAAAAGATGAAACTACTGCTGCTGCCACAGATGGTGATGTGGTCATTGTTTGTGATGTCGGTTTTGTTAACCTTGCTTGTCAAGAGAGTACATGGGTTGTTGACTCAGGTGCCTCATTCCATGTGACCTCACGGGTTGATCTTTTCTCTTCCTACACAAACGGTAACTATGGTTGTGTGAGGATGGGAAATGATGGCGCATCAAAGATTGTTGGCATGGGTGATATTCATCTAGAGACCAACACGGGTTGCAAGCTAGTCTTGAAGGATGTGAGACATGTTCCTGACATGAGGCTGAATTTGATGTCCACGGGAAAGCTTGATGATGATGGTTATACCAACTATTTTGGAGAAGGAAAATGGAAGCTCTCAAGAGGTTCTCTTGTGGTGGTTAAAGGCAAGAAGGAAAGTACGCTCTACATGACGAATGCAAAGCATAGCAAGGGAGGAATCAATGTTGCTGAGAAAGATTCTTCCATTGAGCTTTGGCATAAGAGACCCGGTCATTTGAGCGAGAAGAGGCTGCAAATATTGTCCAAGAAACAACTCTTGCCCGGAGCTAAAGGTACTCTTCTTAAAACTTGTGTTCATTGCTTAGCCGGAAAAACTCATAGAGTTGCATTTCATAGATTTCCACCTTCTAGAAGGAGTAAGGTACTTGATCTAATGCACACCGATGTTTGTTTTATGCGAGATAAAACTCTTGGTGGTGCAAGCTATTATGTTACCTTTATCGATGATCACTCAAGGAAGGTGTGGACATATGCTTTGAAAACGAAGGATCAAGTGCTAGATGTTTTCAAGCATTTTCATGCTGAAGTGGAAAGGGAAACCGGCCTGAAGTTGAAGTGTGTAAGGGCTGATAACGGGGGAGAGTATAGAGGTCCATTCGAAAGCTACTGCAGATTGCACGGAATTAAACTGCAGAAAAGTGTACCCAAGACTCCACAACAAAACGGTATCGCCGAGAGGATGAGTAGAACAATTTGTGAGAGAATCAAGTGTATGCTCTCACATGCCAAGCTACCTAAATCATTTTGGGGAGAAGCAATGCGGACAGCGGTTGATCTAATCAATCTCTCACCATCGGTCCCATTGGAGGGTGATGTGCCTCTACGAGTATGGACGGGAAAGGAAGTTTTATATGAACACTTGCGAGTGTTCGGTTGCAAAGCCTATGTTCATGTTCCAAAAGATGAGAGAGCAAAGCTTGATGACAAAGCAAAGCCATGTATATTCATGGGCTATGGGCGTGAAGAGTTTGGGTACAGATTATGGGATCCAATTGCAAGGAAAATTGTTCGGAGCCGGGATGTGATTTTTCTTGAAGATGAGACAAGTGAAGACGTCGAAAGGGTTGAAAAGAAGAAAAATACAGCAGCTGGTCCGGTTAATTTGGAGCCTATATCTCCATCCCAAATGCATGAAAATGTTGAGGAAGTAGTGCATGATGAGCCCCAAGGTGCACTAGATCAAGAAGTGCAAGGAGAAGAGCAATTGGAGCAAGAAGAACAAGTTGAAGAAGAGCAACCTTTATCCGAACCAAGAAAGTCAACAAGAGATCGCAAAGCTTCCACTTGGTACTCCCCTCATGAGTACCTATTGTTGACTGACAGGGGAGAACCCGAATATTATCAAGAAGCCATGTCTCATGAAGACAAGGAGGAGTGGAACAAAGCAATGCAAGAAGAAATGAAGTCTTTGCAAGAGAACAACACCTATGATTTGGTGAAGCTACCCAAAGGAAAAAGATCACTTAAGAACAAGTGGGTCTATAAGTTAAAGACAGAGGAAACTAGTTCAAAGCCTCGATTTAGGGCGCGACTAGTTGTGAAGGGTTTCAACCAAAAGAAAGGTGTTGAATTTGAAGAAATTTTCTCTCCCGTGGTGAAGATGTCCTCTATCCGAGTTGTGCTTAGGTTGGCTGCAAGTTTGGACTTGGAAGTTGAACAGCTCGATGTGAAGACGGCGTTTCTTCATGGTGACTTAGAGGAAGAAATCTACATGGATCAACCGGAAGGGTTCGAGATTAAAGGCAAAGAAGATCTTGTATGTAGATTGAGAAAGAGCTTATATGGGTTGAAGCAAGCACCAAGGCAATGGTACAAAAAATTTAACTCATTCATGGTAAAAAACGGGTATGCAAGAACTACCTCCGATCATTGTGTGTTTGTGAAATACTTTGCTGAAAATGATTTCATCATTCTCTTGCTTTACGTGGATGACATGTTGATCGTGGATCGGAATGTTGGAGAGATTGATAGATTGAAAAAGGAGTTGAGTAAATCCTTTGCCATGAAGGACTTAGGACCGGCGAAACAAATTCTAGGGATGAGAATCTCTAGGGATCAAAGGAATGGAAAATTTTGGTTGTCTCAAGAAAGGTATATTGAAAGAGTTCTTGAGCGATTTAACATGAGCAAGGCTAAGGCAGTTAGTACTCCACTTGGAGGACATTTCAAGTTGAGTGTGAAGCATTGTCCTTCAAGTGATGAAGAGAAAGAAGCAATGAAGAATGTGCCTTATGCATCAGTTGTTGGAAGCTTGATGTATGCCATGGTTTGCACAAGGCCAGATATTGCTCATGCCGTTGGGATTGTTAGTCGGTTTCTTTCCAATCCGGGGAAAGAACATTGGAGAGCAGTGAAGTGGATTCTTCGCTACTTGAGAGGTACTTCTAGAGTGTGCCTATGCTTTGGTAATGGCAAGACCATACTTGATGGATAAACCGATGCTAATATGGCAGGGAATGTGGACTCTAGAAAGTCGACTTCTGGTTACATGATGACTTTTGCAGGTGCTGCAGTTTCATGGCAATCTAAACTGCAAAAATGTGTTGCATTATCAACAACAGAAGCTGAATACATAGCCGTGACAGAAGCTTGCAAAGAGATGTTATGGTTGAAGAAGTTTCTTCAAGAGTTGGGCATTAAACAAGAGAGGTATGTGGTCTATTGTGATAGTCAAAGTGCAATTCATCTTTGCAAGAATCCAACTTTCCACTCAAGGTCGAAACACATAGATGTTCGATATCATTGGATTCGTAATGTTTTGGAAGAGAAGTTGTTGGAGCTCAACAAAGTGCATACGGATGACAATGGTTCGGACATGATGACTAAGTCTCTACCAAGTGGAAAACATATCTTCTGTCGAGATGAAGCAGGTTTGGTGGTACCCCCCATATGAGCTGGAGGGGGAGATTTGTTGGGTTGGTCCAACTCATATGGTGGTTGGATTAACCGGTTTGAGTTTGAGTTTTGGTGGGTTTCTAGAAGATCATCTACTTTCAAAATAGAGAGTTATTGTCTACTTAAAAATAAAAAGAGGGTTCAGCCTGTCATCTTCCTAGAGAGAGAGAATCAGAAAAGAGAAGAGATAAGGAAAAGGAGAGAAGAGAGAAAGAGCTGCTGTTTTTCGTCTCTGCAGCAGGGCAGCCTGTTCAAGTGAGCGTTCTGGAAGATTGAACCGTTGGATCGTCCTGAGATTTGGGCAGTGGGTTTGAAATTGTCTGGGCTTCATTCTGATCGAAGGGATCGTCATTATGAGGTCTAGTTCGTTGGTAATCTGTGCTGGACAGAAGGTGTACGAATCTGTTTTTGGGTATCTCTCAACCTTTCTTTGTCTTGCTCTTGTTCTTGTTATCCACCATGTTGGTGAGAGCTATTGTGGTTGATTGTTGATCCAAGAAGGGTATTCTTGAGGTATTTGTAATCCTCTAGCTAGTCTAGAGAGGACTTGTAATCCCACCAAAGTCTAGTGGAGTTGTGGCTTGGACAAAGGTCCCGTGGTTTTTCCCGATTTGGGTTTTCCACGTAAAAATCGTGTGTCTTGTGCATTCTATTCTTGCTTGTGGTTGCTGCCCGGTTTCTCAACACTCTGATACCATATGAAAAGCGGCGACTGGATTGGGGTGGAGGATCAGTAGAAAACCTAATGTCCTCTCTTTTGGGATTTTGGATTTTCTATTTATATGAAAAGGGGGGAAGAGATTACAACGGATAACATACAGTGTTAACCGTTGTTTGAATCCTTTAAACCAGAGCCCGACACGTGGCTTGGTAGGATTCGTTATTTTGTAACTAATCCGTGTTTAACAGATTAAAGAATAAAACAAATGAAACGACACTGTATGGAGAAATGTCATTCTAGTTCCAAACTTGTAAAGTCTTCCACTTGAGTCCATCTCAACCCTGTTGACTTCCATCAATCCTGAGTTGACTAGGACTGCTGTGTGCAACAGCTATAGCTGCTGTTCTTCTCGAATCAGATCCTCGTGGATCATTCAATATGAAGAGATTGAAAAAAACTAATAACATTCTAGGTAAGAGCTACCTGAAATTGACAAGAAAAACCGTTAATCCCAAATTGCAAACGGCTAACCTGTTAAGGTTTGAGAAAATGAAGCAAACTAACAAAGCAGATCTCATTGAACAATGATATCCTAAAGGGGATGATTTAAAGTAAATCTCATTGACCACTACAAATTGAACGAACGTGGGTAGAGATGGAAATCTTCAGTTCCACAGACCTAACGGTAACTCACAGGCCTCCGCGGATGAAAACTACGCAAGGAAAAAATTAAGGAAATCCTGAAAATGAAAAACAATGGCGAATCCATGGATTCAATTAATCATGCACATGCCACTAACTCTGTCCCAATTGGCGCATCGAACGTCCTTTGCGTTGGAGCTCCTGCTTGTTATAGGCTATGGCGGAGATAGGGCAACGGCTGCAGTGGTGGCGGTGGATACAAAGTCTCCTGCGCCGCCGATGACGGAGAAGACGATCCCGAGGGAGGAGGGTTTGAGATTGCTTCCGACGGTGGACGAACTGAAGACTCCAATATACCGGAGAAAGGGAAGACAACGCTTGTTGCCGGGATCGCGGCTGGGAGGCTAAGCGGAGATGGAAATGGAGCTACTACTCTGAGGAAGTAGCCGAATTGAGGTTGTAGATGACGGCGGCCGTATGGAAGAGCATGAGGATTCGTCTTCAGGGAAGTATTGGATTATGATGAGAAAACCCTATAATGCGAATTGGGAGAAAAAGCAAGCTAAAATACAAGGAAGGTAGGGAGTCAGACGGCTGCAGGACTTCTTAACTTTGTTGGTTTAATTAAGGGATGCTTTGGAATCAAATAGGTGTTCAAAAAATTAATTTCATGCCCAATATTATTATTTTAATTTAATTCATATAAACTGTTTTTACGTATCAATTGTATTTGTTTCCAATTATAAAGTCTATTTAATTCATGTTTTATTACATTATAGATAATTAGATTTGCTTCCAGACCTAATTCGTTCTAATGAGTAATATGTTATTTAGTAGCAAATACACTAATCGTCTCTAAATCTATTAATTTATTTTATTTCATACAAATTCTAAGAGAATATTGAGATACAGAGACCAATAATATAAATTCTAACATGATATATTGAGGCACATAATATATTTGTAGTCGTAGATTAAATATAGAAACTAATACAACAATTGTCTCTAATTATTTGACTCCAAAGATAGGTTTTCTTGTAGTGGCCACATGTGATGCGCTCTACAGCCGGGCTGGTCCATGCACATTCGTAAAACAAATGTGTATGGGTTTCCTCGAGATTGCAGAAAAGACATGAATCCCCGCGGTTTTGGCACTTCTCCACTACTCGAACTTCAGTAGCTAACGATTCTCTTGCAAAGATCCACAGAAAAATACGAACCTTGGACGACACACTTGATTAAGTTTCTACCATACAAATTTTCGGCACGAGCTAGTAATCTAGAAACAGAAAACATGCATAAATAATTTTTCTTCTCCAACAATCCATAACATTTATTATAAGCAGAATAATCAATTAAACGTACCAACTATAAACTAATATACTAATTAATCGAGTTTTAATATAAAATCAAATTACTAAGCAACAAATTAAAGCAAATGAAACTAATTTATTAATTAACGAATCTAGAGGGACTCCCCCCAAAGATCCATGTCACAGATCAAGTCATCCCAATCCCACTTGCTGCTGCAGCTCTCGTCACCGCAGCTCACCTGAACTTGCTCGAACCGGAAGTCCATCCCGATCATCTCCTCGCCGGCGACAGCGCCGCCGCCGGCCAATATCCCGCTGTCTTGATGGTGATCTTCCATCCCCTGATAGCAACAGCTCCCCATCCCCATCCCTCCATCCTTCCCCCTGCTGCTGTGAATCACCCAGCTGCTGCTCTCCCCGCCGTTGTCCTCCACGAACAGCATTGACGGCGGCGGCGGCGGCACCGTCGACGTGCTGCCCTGCTCTTCTTGAAAGGCGCCGTAGTTGGGGCTCGGCGGCCTTGCTGCGGCGGCTGAGATGCTCCTTGGGTGGGGCCTGATTATCTCGACGGCAGCGCCTGGGGAGGCTGGGGAAGGGTTGGCGGCGAGCTGGAGCTTGGTGTCTTGAGTTTGGTCGACGTCTTGAGGGCCGAGCCGCTTGCTGAGGTGGCAGTTCCAGTAGTTCTTCACGTCGTTGGCTGTTCTTCCCGGCAGTCTTCCGGCGATTAGTGACCATCTGTGTGCATCAAACATTACTTATTAGCATAATAATTAATAAATACCGTTGGCCAAGTTACCCATATAGCTATATTTATTTTTCCTCAATTTTTAAAAAATGATAAGCTTAAATAATTCGACAATAGTAATCAAATATATTGTCCTGTTATTTCATTGAACGTGGACAATACTGACATTGTACACATTTAAGGGGTCGTTTGGAGAATATGAGTTTAAATCTACAGTTTGTCAGCAATCTAAAGATTCTAACTTTTCGGATTGTTGAAAACAGAATTTAAAATGTTTATTGTTTGGTAACTGTGATTGTTAACATTCAATTAAAATAAAATTTTATATTTTATATTAAATAACATGTTTATCCTTAATAAAAAAAATTAGAGTGGTTTGAGAAATATTAAAAACTTTGTTGATAAATATATTTCATGTGATAAATAAATAAAAGTAAGAGAAAAAACAGGAGAAAAAAATCTTACGAATCAAGATATAGAATCTCTCTGATTATTAGAGATTTGACATCCACAAATTTTAGAGATTTGAAATCTCTAAAGTTAGAATCCACAATATAAAAAACAACAAAAAATCATAACTTTCTACAAAATCTACGGATTGAGTGAATCCATGTCCTGAATCATGTTCTCCAAACAACCCCTACGAAACGAGACATCAAATGAACGAGTATACATGAGTAGGTAAAGTAATATATAGGGTTAATATCTCAGAATGACTCAAACTTTACATAAATGGACAATTTTGGGCCCTAACATATCCAATGGTGATAACATGAGCTACACTTTCATAATACCAAATAAATTTGAAAAAATAGTTCGGTTTGATCATCAGTACTAATGTTAAGTTTAACATTGGGTGTCACGTGTTTGGTTGTGAAACTCTTTTACAATCGTTGTTTCTTATATTTATAGGCCTCATGTGTAACTACCCTGGTAACTACCACCTTGTCGGCTGCCTAACCATCTTGGGGTCCTCATCGTCGCCTTGAGAACTAATTGGTAACCATCGTCAAGTTGTTCACTCCCATCGCCTTCGGGCCCCTTATCCCATCTTAGTGACTGGTTGGTACTTGATGGCCTCAACACCAGGTCAGGTAGGTGTTGAGTCTTGTCGCCTTAGCCTGACTGGATTGATTGAAGTTCTTTGCCTTAACCTCCATGACGAAGTCTCAATCACACCCTTGACAACTCTGATATATTCACACTTAGCTTTTATTGCTCTCATATTGCTCTTGTTGTCTTGAGTTACTACTTTGATTATATGAGAGAGTCCTCTCCATGGCGATCTGGTACAATCCTCACCTTGCTATGGCTTGTTATCTTAGTTTTGCTAGCTATCTTAACGAACCATCTTGATAGCTAGGCCTTGTCAGCCACCTTGCGAGGATGAGAACTTAAACCCTCTCCCAACCACGACCCGATGCTTGGTCTTGGGAAGCTTGTCTTGGTGCCAACTTTTCATCTCAAAACCAAGGTCGTTTTATAAGCTCATTAGCAAGTCCATCTCGTTTGCTTAACCTCATTGGCTTGCTACCTTGGTCGACCAACCCCCAACCTGAGATTTTTTACTTAGTCTTGGGAATCTAGAGATTTTTAATGACAATTTGGTACCCTGTCAGCTCGCCACCAAGACCGTCTTTCCGGCTTGGTCTTCATACTTAGTTTTTGGTTGATATCCTAGTTGGACCTTGTCGCCTTGCCAGCTTGAGACTATGCCTCATTGCCATCAAGTCCTTTATTCCTTCTAGTTTGATGTATGCAGCCTTTCCAAGCCTTATTGTTCTGCCAATTTGGTGCCCTGTAAGAGGTTGCCAACAAAACTGTCTTACCGGTTTTCATTGGCTGGGTACCCGGGTGGCTACCTCAGGTGGTCTCCAAATTTTTGTTTTTTGGAGCTCGTCAAGTTGGCACCTTCACTGCCTACTGGACACCTCTTCATTGGGTTGGTACCCTGCCATTTTGATCTTTATACTTAGTTTTTTGAAGTCTCATAAAGTTGGTAGGTTGTTGCCCTACCAACTTGGTACCCGGTTGCCACCAATCCCGTCTCATCGGCTTGGCACCCTCTTCCATTTTTTCATACTTAGTTTTTGAGAGATTTGGTAACTTGATACAAAGCCCATTTTGTCGGCTCTATACCTTGTAACCTTGCTACCAATCCTGTCTTATCAACTTGGTCTCCATGTTTAGTTTTTTTAGCCTTATCAAGTTGGTACCACCAAACCCATCTTGTTAGCTTGGTACCCTGTTCCCTGACCACCAAGTTTGTCTTGCCGACTTGGTATCCGGACTTAGCAAACTCAATCTTACTACCAAACATGTCTTATCGGTTTTGTACCATGTTGCTTGGCTACCAAGCCTTTCCTACCATGTTACCAAGTCTGTTGGTTTGAGAGTAACATTTCATACCAACTAGCTTGTTGCAAGGGAGATGAGGCGTAGGCTATCGAGGCCATGGGGGCCATGAGGGTGGCCGGCCACGTAGTCCAAGAAGAGGGGACTCAATCACTTAGTCCAAAAAATGGAACTTAATAAGGTCTAACTAGTTCTTTTAATTGATTGATAGATAGATATTACTATATAACTCTTACATACTTTAATAAAAAATTCTTATAAGGTTGCACTACAAGGACTTTCCAAGAGGTCACTCATTTTAGTAATACTTTGTTCCAAATACGTTTACATTCGAAATTTTGATGAATCCGATGTATTAGTGTTGGTTTAACGACACCCTACTTTGAATATAAATTGGGTGCAGATGCGATTTGGGTATAAAAAAAAACAACAATTATATGAGAAATTTTACAATGCTATATAGTATTGCTGCTATAGATTTTTGCCTTATGGTACAACTTAAAATTGTACATTTACGTTATGGTACAACTTCAGATTGTACCTATACTTTTTGTACAAATTCTTTTATCGTACAACATGAACTTGTACCTTTATGTGATGGTACAACTTCAAGTTGTAAAGTTGTACCATAACATAATGGTACAAATTGTTTTATGGTACAACCTAAACTTATACATTTAATGTTATGGTACAATTTTGAGTTATACATTAAAGCACTAATACTATATAGCATAGTAGAAGTGCTCCAATTATACATACATGTATATATGTTTTTCCCCCTGTTTTAACCAGTAACCAAAAAACCTTACCCTGTGGCGAGAGTAAACTCAAAAAGGACAAAGCGAACGAAAGGAAGTGAGTTCCTGGGATTTGGGTGTGACGTAACGTAGGCTGGCAAAATGCAACAGCAAAGCTCTTTTCCAACGGGACAGCAAAGCTTGGCTAGCATGTGAAGCTTTTGGTGCGATGTGCAACTATATAAAGCCCAACTAATATTTGTATGGAAATAATAATAATAATAATAATAATAATAATAATAATAATAATAATAATAATATTATGATTGTACTAGAAATACGGTTGTTTTTTGTTATTTTCGTTTTGGTTAGTATATGAAAACAACTTATCAAAAGGAAATTCTTGCATGGAAACGTGCATTTTGGCCTCTCCTTGCCATATGAGAATGAGTTCTTCACATGATATAGGTTAAAAATTCTCATCATTATTCATGGATTTAATCACATGGTATAATAGATTTTTTTTTTAATTTTTAAAGTCTTTTTTTGTTTAACTCAAGTTTTATGAGAGAGAACCTAGTTCATGTGCTTGATACTGTCTTAGTCTCTATAAATACCTATCAAGAACACTTCTACTATACTATATAGTATTGGTGCTTTAATATACAAATTAAAGTTGTACCATAACATTAAATGTATAAGTTTAGGTTGTACCATAAAGCAATTTGTACCATTATGTTATGATACAATTTTACAACTTGAAATTGTACCATCACATAAAGATACAAGTTCAAGTTGTACCATAAAAGAATTTGTACAAAAAGTATAGGTACAATCTGAAGTTGTACCATCACGTAAATGTACAATTTTAAGTTGTACCATAAAGGCAAAACCCTATAGCACTAATACTATATAGCATTGTAAAATTTCTCTACCTACCTATCAAACTAATAAAAGAAATCTATTCGAGCTTAAAACTCTACCAAGGGCACCCATATAATATTTTAAAATATTAAACTATGAGAATTGAACTCGAAAGTAGGGGTGGCTATTTGGACCAGGACCGGATTAAAAACCAGAAACCGGACCGTATAACCCGGACCGAGACCGGACCGGGACCAGATAGTAAACAATCCAATCCAATCTTTGGGCTTAGATTTGAGGTAAAAAACCAGATAAGAGAGCTCAACACCCAAAACTTAATGGTAATTTGCATAAACGGTCACAAACCTTTGCACTTAGTACAAAACTTAACCAACTCCTCACCCTTTAAGGCTTTAGGCCACTCAAATCCCACAATCTCAATGTAAAATCAAGACCGAATTGGGACTGGACCGGATCAAAACCGGACCGGATCAAGACCGGACTGTATCCAATCCAATCTTCGGTCCTTATATTTTCGAAAAGACCGGACTGGACCGGATCAATTTGGGCCAATTTAACCGGACCGAACCGTATAGCCACCCCTACTCGAAAGCATATTTTTCCAACAAATGTAGTTATGGAAATTAAACCCTCAAAATAATGACTAACTTCGGTGACATATGTCATATGTGAGACACGCTCTCTTTTTATTCTTTCAATTATTTTGTTCATATGTTGCATATTTAATCATTAATTTTAAAAAATTTCATAGAAAGTTGCATGACTCACAAACTATGAAATATGACTTATTCTAATATATTTGAAATTTTTTAGACAATTGAAAGACGTGTCTGTGATCTTATGCACTCTCTTTTTCCATAAAGTCAGGATTCTATACCACAGTGATAAAAGATAAACTTGGGAAATGGCGTCTACCATATTAGTAATTACTAATTAATTATCTCATTGGTAAAATGGCAGCCCCATGACAAAGGATTCTTGCTTCTTGGATATCATTAACCTTCGGATAGGAATCTGAAGTATTTCTTTTTTCTTCTTCTAAATAGATAAAGTAGTAATTATCTCTAGATCGCTTGAACAATGTTGGCGTTCATACATAAAAGATACTTAAATCGATTAAACTATTAGACGATGTTCTAGGTACAGGGTTGTAAGTTTGGTTGGGTTTGGTTTGTTGGATTTAACACGAACCGACCTGACATGAAATTTAACGATTTTGGTTTTAGGTTTGCTTAAAACTGGAAAAAATCAATTAGAAATCAACAATAAATTGATAACACTCCAATTAAGTCAACATGCATCAACGACTTGTGTTGTCACCAATTTATGTACAATAAACTTCTTTTTTATCTTCATTCTTCTTGTTGTCTTTTATCACTTCATTTCGGACTTTCGAAATTACGAGTTCAGTTTCTGGTACTTTTTATTTGTTTAAACCAAACCAAAATTTATAAGGAACTTATCAGTTATTGGTTAACCGGTTTTGATTTTAGATACTTAATGATTTTGATTTTAGAGAATTTGCCTGATTTAGTTTTTTATTTTTATTTTTTTCACATATAATGGTTTGGTTAACCAAACCAAATCGACAACCCTAATTCTAGGTATTGAAAAGCTATAATTACTCATGAATAAGTCCACAACGCATAAGTAAAAGGAGCATGTAAACTGTAAAGGTGTAGGACAATTTATATTATAAATGCACAATAAGAAAGGGCAGTAGTGTACCAACTAATCCCTGGTCCATTCACCAACATTATCATCATCCTCCCCTTATCTTTTTATATAATTTTTTGCAATAGTACTGTGTCTTTTTGTTTCCTCCTCACAATAACGTATTTCCTCCTAGTGGAGGCCGCGGGGGGAAACTTTCCATTTCCAGCATTCTGAAAGTCACCCCTTCCCCTTCATTGTTTATTCTAATTTCAAGGAGGGGAAAGGATCTAATCCCTTTGGGGCAAAGTATCTAAAATCATATCATCTCAGCCCCACAAGTCGAGCAGGCAGCAGTTGGGTTTGTCCACTGCTGCTATGCATAATCAGACACCACCACCACAATTTAATAGACATTCGCCAATAATATTAATGATTAAGTAGTAACAGATCTTGCTTGGTACTACTGCATGCCTGCCACCCAATTCTTACTACGTACTAGGGCTGCCTGAACCTAGATATCCATTGACCCGGTCTGGCACGATCGCGGGCTGTATCACAGTTTGTCCACATGATCAGATTAGGGTCGAGTCACTTTTTGGTTGATATGAAATTACTCATACCAACAAATTGGACATGTTTGTAAATTTTTTTAAAAAAATTTGACTACTATAATGCAATTTTAAAAAAAATAAAACGAAGTGAGCAATGTTTTTATTAATTGACCCTATAGAGATGTGTTAGACAAAATTCTTACATGGTAAGATGCGAGTCTGACCCGTACATATACTGTATGTTTGTGTATCACATATATCGAAAAAAGTATTTGCGGTTGAATTTGAAGATGTGAATAATGATAGTAATAATAATAATGATAATTAACTTGCCTGTTACCCAGGAGCTTGTGAAGCTTGATAATGAGATCAACCTCCTCTTCAGCAAAACTCCCTCTCTTGATGTTGGGTCGGAGGTAGTTTAGCCATCTCAGCCTACAGCTCTTCCGGCACCTGTTTAAACCTGTATAGAAAACTCCAATTAATAACTGTGCTCACCACATGAATTGGTTTATTATTCTTGGTTTTCATTTCGACTTACTGAATGATAGAATTCGATAGGCTTCTTCTGGTGGTGGCAGTCCAATAAATGGGAGAATCTAGGCATAGATATTTCCATTCCCATTTTTGGGTTTGGTTTTCTTTTATTAGTCCGCCAGTATATGGTCTACATAGTACGATGGGTAAGGTGAAATTTGAAAGCTGGTGTCTAGCTAGCTACATGCTCACCCAAGCTAAAATGATTGGAGATGGGAGCTTCCCTTCATCTACTTTTTTTTTTTTTAAGTACAAGTGTCAAGTAGTCCAAACCACTCGTTCGAAAACCAAAGTACAAGTTCAACTAAATGCTGCAACTTATTTTTCTTTTCTAAAATAGGGGGTCGGCCATCTTTTCCTTTCTTCCCACTTTAGGTGCAGATCAATGGTTAGCTTCATTCAACCCATTTTATGTAGCTTGTAGTTATGAAAGCTGGACAACAGAAGAGATAAAAATCTCCAGTACTAGCAATACATAATCAAGAAAACCCATCACGTCTAAGGATCTCTTGTTGATTCGTTTACTTGGTTTCTGATGCATTGGCAATTTGGCATCGTTCTAAACTACGAAAATTAACAAAAATACTAAATTGGTTTTTTATCTTCTTCATTGATAATAAATCTATATAAAAGGATACATATTTGTAGTAGAACCGGAAAGCCTAATCACTTAACAATCATTCACTGACTCGATAACTTAATCTTAAAGAAAATACGGTAAACACTAACCAATAACTAACACAAATAAAAAAAAAACTAAATTCAGAGTAGGTTTAGGTTGTAAGAAGAGCGCGAGAGCAAGAGCGAGAGAGAGATGATGAGCAGATTACGTACCAGCGAGCAAGGGGACACGGTGCCATTTGCCTTCTCCGTATTGCTCAATGCATTTCCTCAGCAGTTGATCTTCTTCTTCCGTCCACGCAACTCCTCCCATTTTTTACTATTACAACAACAAAGCTTCGATCCTTTGCTCTGCTGGCTCTCTTTCTCGCTCTCTCTATACCAGCTGATAAATCTAGCTAGCTATTTGGTCTGGTTTGAGCTGGCGGCAGGAGCAGAAGGAGCATATAATGAGCAAGGAAGGAGGGAGGAGGCAAGGGTAACTGTGTCGTATTTTTGGACGACTCTCCATATCTCTCTCTATATATATAGGCGCACACATATGTGTTGTGGTACGCCATCACAGCTTTCATCAGTTTGGGGTAATAATTAGGAACCCTCCTTCCCTCTTACTTCAACTAACTATGATGGGAAGTCAATCAAAGTATGTATCTAATTTTTAAAGGAAGTGATTAATTAATTGTGTCGACAGCCCATTTATGGCAACAACTTTAACTTCGCAAAGAAATTCCAAACCTCATTCACAACTATCTCATTAACTCAATATATAATTCGACTAATTAAATATAAATCTTATATTATTCTCTAACGCTAATTTAACGATGGTCGTATGGGTAGAATAATATAATGGAGAAGAAGGTGGGGAAGGGATGGATCGATGGGGAATGCGGGGGTGAATGGTCCCCTTGCCTTTCTGAGCTTGTCTTGCTGTATCTATGTTTATGTTGAAGCAGCATGAGTGGCATCTCTAGTGGTCCATCCCCTGCTTGCTGCAAAACTTCATATCTCCATTTTTCCCTGATTTCAGTCCCACTCGTTAGCTTCCAACACTCTCATCATCAATTCCTTCCCTTTCACTTTTATTCCCTTTCTCTTTTTAATCTTTGCTTTTATTTCCAAAGTTCTCCACACATAATGCCGTTTTGGCCTTACTATATATGATCTAAGGTGCAATGTCATGTATTGAGTTTGATTATGTAAAAAAGATCAGTTTCTCATGCACCAGATCGTATTTGATGAATAAACCTCACCCATTCATTGGAGGGGAAAAAAATTCTCACGAAAGCAAACGTGGTCAACCTAATCAAGGAAACTCGAAACGTACACTAGATTGAAGACTGAACTCCAACAGAATTTCGTCTCTTCAATGTATGTTAAAAGAATTGAACTTAGGAAAACCTATCCTCGAGGAAAAGTCAAAACTTCGAAAGGAGTTCTATGAAAACCTTCCATTTGAGGGGTAAGAGTCTAATGTGATATTTGAAACTGGTCAAGTTTTCTCGAAAGATCTAGCCTAAGCCTCTATTTAATTTGTAGTGCTATTTGCAGTGCTAATTAGTGGGTAAAGGCTTATGGACAAAATATGGGTATCAGTGGTTTCCTTCATAATTTCGGGCATAAATCTTCCTCGTTTGACTTGCATTGAGACTCCTTTACTTGGGAATGAAGAGAAGAACTTCTATGAGCTTATAGGTTAGCGACGAAGACTGCGCCGCTCTTGATTTCTTCTCCTCGGATTAGGATTACTTTGCCTTTAAGTAAGCTCCTTGATGAATGAGGCTTTAACTGGGATACGTTGAGTCGACGACGGTTGGACCTTTCAAGTTGTTGTCGTCATTGAGTCTCCTATGAATGCTCTAATCTTTCTCCAGTAGACTTCTCTTGTGTTTAAATGACTCATTGCCGAATTTTAGCTCAATTGCACTCCGTTTTATATGATCATCTTCCTAGTTTTTCATGTTTTTGCTTTTTGGGCCTTCAACCATGTTGATTATTTGATCCAAAATTTTCTTGATTATATTTTATCTTGAAATGCACAAAATAATTTAAAAGAAGGCATAAAATTATACAAAAATACAACAAATGTCTAAAATAAGCATATTGTTCAAATAGTTATGAAATGCATAGAAAATATAGGAAACTGCCAAAGATGCCTCAAGATGCATCATATAAGGTGTAATGTGTTAGATATAGGACCTTGAGACACTATAATGTTAGTGTTATCAGAAATACTGTACACTTGAACTTTGCTTGTCCCCAAACAAACATTACTTATAATCATACAACTCAATGATAGTTAGAAAACCTCATTTGACTTCGTTCATACGTCATGGATTATAAGTGAACTTACAAGGTCAACAGTAGCACGAGAGAACTCTAACACATCAACATGCAAGAATAACTCTAAATCTAATTCAATCACGAATGACAACCAAGCATGAGTTTCAACACGCGTAGGGTGAAACTTTTAAAGAAAAATAATACTTTTAGTTAGAACTTAGAAATGCATCTACCAATTTTTTGACATACTCTTTCTACACTTTTTTTCTTTCATCATTTCTTTCTTTTCAAATTTTTTTCTATATAAATTTTTTTGTTTGTTGAGAGCTCTATATTTACTAGAGCATTATACTCTTATTGGTTGAGAAAGAGTAATTTTTGTAGTTGTCGGAAGCTGTATCACTGCCCTCGAAAATACATTCTCATATCGACAATCCAATAGACAGGTGAAAATTTTACTTGTATTGGAAATGGACCAACATCGAACGATTGCGAGCCGACTCTCAATTTCTATATTTTCCAAACAAAAATTTAATGAATGGGACGTCTCCCACATTAGGTTTATCCCAGACTTATCTTTTTTTCCATGACAGATGCATAGATAATACTTTCATGTCTTTTTTGGTATATTTTTCAGTTAATAGAATGTACAACTCACTGTACTAAAACAATTGAAAAGGTTGTGACTCATTAGTATGATTAAAATTCCATATAAGAATCAAATAGCACGGTATCCAAACATATTGAATGATTATTTTGTCACATTAACTATCACATCCTTTATAGTCACTACACTTGCCTCTCTAGTATATTGAAATTTCTAGATTCATTAACTCCAATTAAGATTAATACCGAATATGCTTGTAGGGATGCTAAGAGTAAAAATAAAAATTAGAAAATTTCTGAAAATTTCACATAAATTGCACTCAATAATTTGAGTACTCAAGCTAATGGATGGAAGATGCATCCTAAGCATTTTAAAAAAATTAAAATTCTTTAACTAATAATACAATATGTATAAAGTATAATAATTAAGAAATAAACATGGCAATCTGCCCATCCCACACTTTAAACAAGATGTTGTACTCAATGGACTAAAACATAGGCGAGCATGCAAAGGATTGGAACATTTTATCTGTTTTACTTCGTAGAAGTAATAGAGGTTTAGCTAAATACTATATAGTATATATCCTTCATTGTTTAAGATGAATACAAACATGATTAAAGAAAAGAAAAGAGAAAGTATAAAATGGATAGAAAGCTAGTGTTTTATCTTCTAAAAATTATCCAAAATAAAATATAAAATAAATATAGATAGATACTCGCCATTAAACTTGAAAGTACAATACTGAAATCTTCATCCACATCTCCGACTGCTGAAAAAGTCATCGAACTTCTAACCATGCTCTCTCATCCATGCCTCCTGACTGTTTAGCAACTCATGCATGGTCTCTCCTCTGTTGGTCGACAAGACTCTGATAGCTAGCAGTCATCTCAGCATGCCATGCTCGAGTCTCCTCCACCTCTTTATATGATCACGCTCGTAGGAATTCCATCTAGACTCAACATTCGAGTGGTAGAGATTCGTGTTCTCTTAGTCATCTGCACAATATCATACCACGTAGTATGACAGCGTAACATGGTAGTAGTGGCGGAGCCAGGAAATTGGCCAAGGGGGTGTCTTTATCATATCATAAAAAATCACCTATACAATAGAAAAGTCAACTTTAAATTAAACAAAAAGTCAACAACGCAATACTCTAAATTCACACAATTACATTAAAATAGTTTCACGTACACCGGTTACAACGTCAAACAAATAAGTTCAGTACATACAAATCAAGACTTCCATTCATCAAATATTACAAATTAAAACTCAAAAGTACCTTGGAATTGATTTTGTGAAACAAACAAGTGAACTTCAATTGGTACTTCTTCACTTTCAACTTTGTTTAAACGAAAGACAAGAAATTTCTCTGTTGTAGAGCTACAAAAAAAAAAGAGCGAGTTTAAACAAAAGACAACAATTTATTACTATAAATAAAGACGAAAGTGCATTACATAACAAAACTCACTCGATCGAAATGATAAAAAATTCTTCCTGCAACTGAATGGTCATTGGTTCGAATTTGTATATACCCCTACTCGGAAATTTTTGCTTCAAACCCAAGGGGGGTGCAAAGCACCCCCTCCTCTCCAAGTGGCTCCGCCACTGCATGGTAGTATGAATATAATATAATATAAAATAGTAGAAATATACGAGCTGTCATTTACCACATTCATAATTGTGTATCACCAGTTATCACCCTTATACTAGGGTGGTATGGAGTGGTACATTTTGGTCCTGTATCCCCCCTCCAGGAAATTTTTAGATCCAATAAGTCACGATGAACTCGTTTCATCATTGCAAAAAATTTCAAAATTCGAGTTAAAAATGAAGGTGATACCAATGTGGTAGCGAGTGGTGGTTCTAAAAATTTTTGTCGAGATATATTGAAAATTGATATGATTTTGTTGATCACCACGATCTCATTCCATATGTGCAAAAAAAAAAAAAATTTGAAATCCAAATTAGAATATAAAAGGTAAGAGCCGATTAAAAATACTAGAAAAAAATAAGGAGTCATTAATTCTGGTCCGTTAAATCTGGATTTTTCTAAACCCACTCAAAACTAAGGGCTCGAATCTAGTTATGCAACCTATATTATAGACCTATACCCAACCGAACAACCCAACATTTTCTTTATGCTATGAGAAACCAGCCTTTAAATCTGGATTTTTCTAAACCCACTCAAAACTAAGGGCTCGAAATTAAGGACTTTTTCCAGAAATACCAATGTTTTAAAAAGAATTCCAAAAATACTCATTTTTCAAAAACCGCCACCCACCCTGCGGTTTGGTTCAATTTTTTTTTCAATCAACTCCTAACTTCGGCCGGAATTTCAAACGAACGTAACTTTGCACTCGGATATCCGATCATAGCGATTTTTTTATTTTGAATCCGAATAACTTTTCGAGATCTTGCAAGCCGCAAACGGCCGTAGGTGGTTTGGTCCCGCCTTCGTCTCGAAAAAACGTCATTTGCTACCCCCGAACGAGCCTTTTTTTTATTTCGTCAAACTTTGGGCAGCCATAACTTTGTGCTCCAAAATCCGAACGTCATGATTTTTTTTTATTCAGCATAACTTTTCGAGATCTACAACTTTTAAGATAATCATAATTTTGAAATGTACATGGATTTGTGAAAAGTAAAGGTTAAGTTATTCCCAAGGTCCCGTATATCCACAACTAATTCCTGTTTTGAAAATTTCATCCTAGTAAAAGTTGTAGATCTCGAAAAGTTATTCGGATTCAAAAAAAATTCATGAAGTTCGGATTTTGGAGCACAAAGTTAAGGTCGCCCAAAATTTGACGAAATAAAAAAAAGGCTCGTTCGGGGGTAGCAAATGACGTTGTTTCGAGACGAAGGCGGGACCAAACCGCCTACGGCTATTTGTGGCTTGCAAGATCTCGAAAAGTTATTCGGATTAAAAAAAAAATCGCTACGATCGGATACCCGAGTGCAAAGTTACGTTCGTTTGAAGTTTCGGCCTAAGCTAGGAGTTGATCGGAAAAAAAAAGGACCAAACCGCTGGGTGGAGTGGCGGTTTGGGTCAAAATCGCCGCCCCACCCAGCGGTTTTTATAACCGCCCCTAAGCCCAACGGTTTGTAGAGAAAACCGCACCCCCGCCTAGCGGTTTTCGTGTAAACCGCAGGGTGGGGTGGCGGTTTTTGAAAAAAGGTGGTATTTTTGGAATTTTTTTGGGGTTGGGTGATATTTTTGAATTTTTTTTTAAACAGTGGTACTTTTGAATTTTTTCCCGAATCTAATGCAACCTATATTATAGACCTATACCCAACCGAACAACCCAACATTTTCTTTATGCTATGAGAAACCAGCCTTTCCCGGCGGCGTCGGCAGAGGTCCGAACATCATGTGCTTGACAGAAATAGATGGGGGTCATCGGTATTTGAACACAAGACCTCTCGGTCACAGAAGACTCTGATACCATGTTAAGAATCATTTGATCCCAATAACACAAATTATTTGTAAAGGTTCAATCGTAGATCATAATATACTGTTTACTAACGCTTCCAGATCCAGCTTCGCAGAGGTAGCTTAGCTGCCGCTGCCTTTGCATGAAAATGCCATGGCCGCCAATAATGACCGGATCGAGCTGTTAGAAACTCGTCGTGCCAGGTCATGGAGTTTCTTTTACTTTTAGGTGCTGAAATGGAACAACCAAGAACTGTGGTAGAAAACAAGAAGTGAAAAAGGAAGTGGTCCAACTGTATGATAAAGATACACACACAAGAGGACCAGATTATCAAAGTTGAAATAATGACACACAGAAGAAGTGCGTACTCTTAGGAAATAAATTCCAATGGCTGTGGATCACTCGATCGATCGGCCGGCCCCTAGCTGGGTACATAAGAGCAGGAACAGTACAGCATCCATAGAGAGTGTCTTAAATGATAAACTAGCACCGTTTGGTTGATTGCTTCGCCAGTTCTCGATCATGCAACCAACTCTGTGGGATTGGAACTATGGGACAAAGCCAGACCGCCCCTCCTTCCGGTACCGCACAACATCAAAACATGGATCCAAAATTCAAGATAATGACCCATGTTCTATTATTGGCTTTTCCAACCCCAACAAATAAGGCTTTTTGGTCCACTATCTAGCCAAGGCGGGAAAATAGAATAAACTGTTTGAAAAATCGTGGATCAAATTGAGTCATATAGTTTGATCCGGATCGTAGACCATTAAGATAGTTTTGTCTGATTCATGGTATGTATTATAAGATGTATTGATCTCTTCGTCTGGTCTGATTTAGACTGTGAGTGGTTTACCAGACCATACTGTGGATCGATACCCAACTCACTTTCAATTCATGTTAGCAACTCACTTGATAACTCTCCCAACTTCTTAATTAGACCCAAGTTCCTTACAGAGTAGAGATGATCGTGTCTGCATATGAAATTTTGTTAATATTTATGATGTTATGATGCAAGTTGGATTGCTATGATTTTGTATTTTATTATTTACTTGGATTGGTATCAAAATTGTACATGGCGTATGTGCTGAAAATTATTTTTAACGAGAAATAGATTTTTCTCGGTTATTGGTTTGCATTTTCATATGATTAACTAAAAGCACTATTCATATTTTGCTCAATATGATGTACATGGTCCAGAACTTACCGGGCCAAACTATAGAAACGTAGTATGATCTAAATCGTGTAGTATTTGATTTTGTATCTAGTCTATATATTTCATCTTTCTTAATATGGATCAAAGCCGTATATATAATTAATATCCGATGCAGATCTAACCGCTCCGTTTTTCAACCCTAGCCAAAGGCACAAAATCCAGCCGTTCCATCAAAACACGGCGAAAAGATATGATACGGTGATTCATATGCAGTGTTTGAGGGGGGAGCAAGAAGGTGAAGAGAGCTGAACACCGAGGAAATGGTTCAGCTGGGAGGAAGATAGAGATTCCGACAAAATACTTATGTTATTCCATAATTCTGCCAAGAATCCCAACAGGAATAATATATTTTAATATGACAATTGGCTTAATTAACCTACCCAAATATCACACTTACTCCCCGTAACTAGAGAAAAAAATACGACAGTAGGCAAAAATATTTTTTATTTTCAGCCTTTAGAGGTTGATAGTGAGGGTGTAGTTTCAGGTAAAAAAATACAGGAATCGGTTAGCTTGTTAATCTTTTTATGAGGTTGGAAAAATGACACCCCCTATTAATTATGGAATTAAATTTGTGTTGCATTTAATAATCTTTGGGAATTAAAAACGCATATTAATTAAGTTTTTTTTTTAACTACCATTGTACTGATACAACTATCATTCTACATGTACACCGAACTCATATTAATCACATTCCTTTCTTTGAACTACCATTGCACATTTGCACTGATACAACTATCATTGCACATTTACATTGATACCATTGCACTGGTAGAACTACCATTGCACTGATACAACTATCATTCTACCATTGCACAGATTATTAAATGCAACACAAATCAATTACCTTAAAAGTCTATAATTAATAGGGGTGTCATTTTTCCAACCCTTTTAGGGGTAGTCATGCTATCTCACCCCAAAAATACGATGAATATTCGGTAATATAATAAGAAAAACTATTTTTTCATGTAAAGATGATATGAGGGTCGTTCGGGTGACCTACAACCCACCCATCACCCATCGATAAGTGCAGGTAGGAGATTTATTGATTCACAATCCATCCACATCAATCACTCGTACACTGCAATTTGGATTATTTGTGGGTGAATGGATATCAAACCATGGATAGCAAAAATGTGTTGCATTATCAACAACAGAAGCTGAATACATAGCCGTGACAGAAGCTTGCAAAGAGATGTTATGGTTGAAGAAGTTTCTTCAAGAGTTGGGCATTAAACAAGAGAGGTATGTGGTCTATTGTGATAGTCAAAGTGCAATTCATCTTTGCAAGAATCCAACTTTCCACTCAAGGTCGAAACACATAGATGTTCGATATCATTGGATTCGTAATGTTTTGGAAGAGAAGTTGTTGGAGCTCAACAAAGTGCATACGGATGACAATGGTTCGGACATGATGACTAAGTCTCTACCAAGTGGAAAACATATCTTCTGTCGAGATGAAGCAGGTTTGGTGGTACCCCCCATATGAGCTGGAGGGGGAGATTTGTTGGGTTGGTCCAACTCATATGGTGGTTGGATTAACCGGTTTGAGTTTGAGTTTTGGTGGGTTTCTAGAAGATCATCTACTTTCAAAATAGAGAGTTATTGTCTACTTAAAAATAAAAAGAGGGTTCAGCCTGTCATCTTCCTAGAGAGAGAGAATCAGAAAAGAGAAGAGATAAGGAAAAGGAGAGAAGAGAGAAAGAGCTGCTGTTTTTCGTCTCTGCAGCAGGGCAGCCTGTTCAAGTGAGCGTTCTGGAAGATTGAACCGTTGGATCGTCCTGAGATTTGGGCAGTGGGTTTGAAATTGTCTGGGCTTCATTCTGATCGAAGGGATCGTCATTATGAGGTCTAGTTCGTTGGTAATCTGTGCTGGACAGAAGGTGTACGAATCTGTTTTTGGGTATCTCTCAACCTTTCTTTGTCTTGCTCTTGTTCTTGTTATCCACCATGTTGGTGAGAGCTATTGTGGTTGATTGTTGATCCAAGAAGGGTATTCTTGAGGTATTTGTAATCCTCTAGCTAGTCTAGAGAGGACTTGTAATCCCACCAAAGTCTAGTGGAGTTGTGGCTTGGACAAAGGTCCCGTGGTTTTTCCCGATTTGGGTTTTCCACGTAAAAATCGTGTGTCTTGTGCATTCTATTCTTGCTTGTGGTTGCTGCCCGGTTTCTCAACACTCTGATACCATATGAAAAGCGGCGACTGGATTGGGGTGGAGGATCAGTAGAAAACCTAATGTCCTCTCTTTTGGGATTTTGGATTTTCTATTTATATGAAAAGGGGGGAAGAGATTACAACGGATAACATACAGTGTTAACCGTTGTTTGAATCCTTTAAACCAGAGCCCGACACGTGGCTTGGTAGGATTCGTTATTTTGTAACTAATCCGTGTTTAACAGATTAAAGAATAAAACAAATGAAACGACACTGTATGGAGAAATGTCATTCTAGTTCCAAACTTGTAAAGTCTTCCACTTGAGTCCATCTCAACCCTGTTGACTTCCATCAATCCTGAGTTGACTAGGACTGCTGTGTGCAACAGCTATAGCTGCTGTTCTTCTCGAATCAGATCCTCGTGGATCATTCAATATGAAGAGATTGAAAAAAACTAATAACATTCTAGGTAAGAGCTACCTGAAATTGACAAGAAAAACCGTTAATCCCAAATTGCAAACGGCTAACCTGTTAAGGTTTGAGAAAATGAAGCAAACTAACAAAGCAGATCTCATTGAACAATGATATCCTAAAGGGGATGATTTAAAGTAAATCTCATTGACCACTACAAATTGAACGAACGTGGGTAGAGATGGAAATCTTCAGTTCCACAGACCTAACGGTAACTCACAGGCCTCCGCGGATGAAAACTACGCAAGGAAAAAATTAAGGAAATCCTGAAAATGAAAAACAATGGCGAATCCATGGATTCAATTAATCATGCACATGCCACTAACTCTGTCCCAATTGGCGCATCGAACGTCCTTTGCGTTGGAGCTCCTGCTTGTTATAGGCTATGGCGGAGATAGGGCAACGGCTGCAGTGGTGGCGGTGGATACAAAGTCTCCTGCGCCGCCGATGACGGAGAAGACGATCCCGAGGGAGGAGGGTTTGAGATTGCTTCCGACGGTGGACGAACTGAAGACTCCAATATACCGGAGAAAGGGAAGACAACGCTTGTTGCCGGGATCGCGGCTGGGAGGCTAAGCGGAGATGGAAATGGAGCTACTACTCTGAGGAAGTAGCCGAATTGAGGTTGTAGATGACGGCGGCCGTATGGAAGAGCATGAGGATTCGTCTTCAGGGAAGTATTGGATTATGATGAGAAAACCCTATAATGCGAATTGGGAGAAAAAGCAAGCTAAAATACAAGGAAGGTAGGGAGTCAGACGGCTGCAGGACTTCTTAACTTTGTTGGTTTAATTAAGGGATGCTTTGGAATCAAATAGGTGTTCAAAAAATTAATTTCATGCCCAATATTATTATTTTAATTTAATTCATATAAACTGTTTTTACGTATCAATTGTATTTGTTTCCAATTATAAAGTCTATTTAATTCATGTTTTATTACATTATAGATAATTAGATTTGCTTCCAGACCTAATTCGTTCTAATGAGTAATATGTTATTTAGTAGCAAATACACTAATCGTCTCTAAATCTATTAATTTATTTTATTTCATACAAATTCTAAGAGAATATTGAGATACAGAGACCAATAATATAAATTCTAACATGATATATTGAGGCACATAATATATTTGTAGTCGTAGATTAAATATAGAAACTAATACAACAATTGTCTCTAATTATTTGACTCCAAAGATAGGTTTTCTTGTAGTGGCCACATGTGATGCGCTCTACAGCCGGGCTGGTCCATGCACATTCGTAAAACAAATGTGTATGGGTTTCCTCGAGATTGCAGAAAAGACATGAATCCCCGCGGTTTTGGCACTTCTCCACTACTCGAACTTCAGTAGCTAACGATTCTCTTGCAAAGATCCACAGAAAAATACGAACCTTGGACGACACACTTGATTAAGTTTCTACCATACAAATTTTCGGCACGAGCTAGTAATCTAGAAACAGAAAACATGCATAAATAATTTTTCTTCTCCAACAATCCATAACATTTATTATAAGCAGAATAATCAATTAAACGTACCAACTATAAACTAATATACTAATTAATCGAGTTTTAATATAAAATCAAATTACTAAGCAACAAATTAAAGCAAATGAAACTAATTTATTAATTAACGAATCTAGAGGGACTCCCCCCAAAGATCCATGTCACAGATCAAGTCATCCCAATCCCACTTGCTGCTGCAGCTCTCGTCACCGCAGCTCACCTGAACTTGCTCGAACCGGAAGTCCATCCCGATCATCTCCTCGCCGGCGACAGCGCCGCCGCCGGCCAATATCCCGCTGTCTTGATGGTGATCTTCCATCCCCTGATAGCAACAGCTCCCCATCCCCATCCCTCCATCCTTCCCCCTGCTGCTGTGAATCACCCAGCTGCTGCTCTCCCCGCCGTTGTCCTCCACGAACAGCATTGACGGCGGCGGCGGCGGCACCGTCGACGTGCTGCCCTGCTCTTCTTGAAAGGCGCCGTAGTTGGGGCTCGGCGGCCTTGCTGCGGCGGCTGAGATGCTCCTTGGGTGGGGCCTGATTATCTCGACGGCAGCGCCTGGGGAGGCTGGGGAAGGGTTGGCGGCGAGCTGGAGCTTGGTGTCTTGAGTTTGGTCGACGTCTTGAGGGCCGAGCCGCTTGCTGAGGTGGCAGTTCCAGTAGTTCTTCACGTCGTTGGCTGTTCTTCCCGGCAGTCTTCCGGCGATTAGTGACCATCTGTGTGCATCAAACATTACTTATTAGCATAATAATTAATAAATACCGTTGGCCAAGTTACCCATATAGCTATATTTATTTTTCCTCAATTTTTAAAAAATGATAAGCTTAAATAATTCGACAATAGTAATCAAATATATTGTCCTGTTATTTCATTGAACGTGGACAATACTGACATTGTACACATTTAAGGGGTCGTTTGGAGAATATGAGTTTAAATCTACAGTTTGTCAGCAATCTAAAGATTCTAACTTTTCGGATTGTTGAAAACAGAATTTAAAATGTTTATTGTTTGGTAACTGTGATTGTTAACATTCAATTAAAATAAAATTTTATATTTTATATTAAATAACATGTTTATCCTTAATAAAAAAAATTAGAGTGGTTTGAGAAATATTAAAAACTTTGTTGATAAATATATTTCATGTGATAAATAAATAAAAGTAAGAGAAAAAACAGGAGAAAAAAATCTTACGAATCAAGATATAGAATCTCTCTGATTATTAGAGATTTGACATCCACAAATTTTAGAGATTTGAAATCTCTAGCGGTTTTCGTGTAAACCGCAGGGTGGGGTGGCGGTTTTTGAAAAAAGGTGGTATTTTTGGAATTTTTTTGGGGTTGGGTGATATTTTTGAATTTTTTTTTAAACAGTGGTACTTTTGAATTTTTTCCCGAATCTAATGCAACCTATATTATAGACCTATACCCAACCGAACAACCCAACATTTTCTTTATGCTATGAGAAACCAGCCTTTCCCGGCGGCGTCGGCAGAGGTCCGAACATCATGTGCTTGACAGAAATAGATGGGGGTCATCGGTATTTGAACACAAGACCTCTCGGTCACAGAAGACTCTGATACCATGTTAAGAATCATTTGATCCCAATAACACAAATTATTTGTAAAGGTTCAATCGTAGATCATAATATACTGTTTACTAACGCTTCCAGATCCAGCTTCGCAGAGGTAGCTTAGCTGCCGCTGCCTTTGCATGAAAATGCCATGGCCGCCAATAATGACCGGATCGAGCTGTTAGAAACTCGTCGTGCCAGGTCATGGAGTTTCTTTTACTTTTAGGTGCTGAAATGGAACAACCAAGAACTGTGGTAGAAAACAAGAAGTGAAAAAGGAAGTGGTCCAACTGTATGATAAAGATACACACACAAGAGGACCAGATTATCAAAGTTGAAATAATGACACACAGAAGAAGTGCGTACTCTTAGGAAATAAATTCCAATGGCTGTGGATCACTCGATCGATCGGCCGGCCCCTAGCTGGGTACATAAGAGCAGGAACAGTACAGCATCCATAGAGAGTGTCTTAAATGATAAACTAGCACCGTTTGGTTGATTGCTTCGCCAGTTCTCGATCATGCAACCAACTCTGTGGGATTGGAACTATGGGACAAAGCCAGACCGCCCCTCCTTCCGGTACCGCACAACATCAAAACATGGATCCAAAATTCAAGATAATGACCCATGTTCTATTATTGGCTTTTCCAACCCCAACAAATAAGGCTTTTTGGTCCACTATCTAGCCAAGGCGGGAAAATAGAATAAACTGTTTGAAAAATCGTGGATCAAATTGAGTCATATAGTTTGATCCGGATCGTAGACCATTAAGATAGTTTTGTCTGATTCATGGTATGTATTATAAGATGTATTGATCTCTTCGTCTGGTCTGATTTAGACTGTGAGTGGTTTACCAGACCATACTGTGGATCGATACCCAACTCACTTTCAATTCATGTTAGCAACTCACTTGATAACTCTCCCAACTTCTTAATTAGACCCAAGTTCCTTACAGAGTAGAGATGATCGTGTCTGCATATGAAATTTTGTTAATATTTATGATGTTATGATGCAAGTTGGATTGCTATGATTTTGTATTTTATTATTTACTTGGATTGGTATCAAAATTGTACATGGCGTATGTGCTGAAAATTATTTTTAACGAGAAATAGATTTTTCTCGGTTATTGGTTTGCATTTTCATATGATTAACTAAAAGCACTATTCATATTTTGCTCAATATGATGTACATGGTCCAGAACTTACCGGGCCAAACTATAGAAACGTAGTATGATCTAAATCGTGTAGTATTTGATTTTGTATCTAGTCTATATATTTCATCTTTCTTAATATGGATCAAAGCCGTATATATAATTAATATCCGATGCAGATCTAACCGCTCCGTTTTTCAACCCTAGCCAAAGGCACAAAATCCAGCCGTTCCATCAAAACACGGCGAAAAGATATGATACGGTGATTCATATGCAGTGTTTGAGGGGGGAGCAAGAAGGTGAAGAGAGCTGAACACCGAGGAAATGGTTCAGCTGGGAGGAAGATAGAGATTCCGACAAAATACTTATGTTATTCCATAATTCTGCCAAGAATCCCAACAGGAATAATATATTTTAATATGACAATTGGCTTAATTAACCTACCCAAATATCACACTTACTCCCCGTAACTAGAGAAAAAAATACGACAGTAGGCAAAAATATTTTTTATTTTCAGCCTTTAGAGGTTGATAGTGAGGGTGTAGTTTCAGGTAAAAAAATACAGGAATCGGTTAGCTTGTTAATCTTTTTATGAGGTTGGAAAAATGACACCCCCTATTAATTATGGAATTAAATTTGTGTTGCATTTAATAATCTTTGGGAATTAAAAACGCATATTAATTAAGTTTTTTTTTTAACTACCATTGTACTGATACAACTATCATTCTACATGTACACCGAACTCATATTAATCACATTCCTTTCTTTGAACTACCATTGCACATTTGCACTGATACAACTATCATTGCACATTTACATTGATACCATTGCACTGGTAGAACTACCATTGCACTGATACAACTATCATTCTACCATTGCACAGATTATTAAATGCAACACAAATCAATTACCTTAAAAGTCTATAATTAATAGGGGTGTCATTTTTCCAACCCTTTTAGGGGTAGTCATGCTATCTCACCCCAAAAATACGATGAATATTCGGTAATATAATAAGAAAAACTATTTTTTCATGTAAAGATGATATGAGGGTCGTTCGGGTGACCTACAACCCACCCATCACCCATCGATAAGTGCAGGTAGGAGATTTATTGATTCACAATCCATCCACATCAATCACTCGTACACTGCAATTTGGATTATTTGTGGGTGAATGGATATCAAACCATGGATTACCCATCCACATTCCCACCCTTACTTCTAAGTAAAAAGCTACTAGGTTTACTCTCTGGTCCTCCCATCCTATGTACCTAGCACCTCTCGAATCTGGAAAACTATAAGCATACGTCATCATACCCTAGTCCAACCATGTGCCCCTTTTAGGTTTGGGTGCCAATCAACCTTCTGCCTAGTCCATTCCACACAACGGCGAATCCAGGATAGGATAAAGCACTAGGCCACATTAGAAAAAGAGGCGGAAAGCACTGGACCGTAATCCGACAAACACTAAAACAAATACTGAAAATCAAAAATTTACAAGGATATACTAGCTTTGGATCCAGGGGAGGGTTGAGCCATGGCCCGGGGGCGTCCCCCTAGATCCGCCGCTGATTCCACACCACCAAGACATGGGCTACTAAAACATGGGGTTAAAAAACTCGAGTAGTTTGATTGGCCAATCAGACTCGACACTGTTAACTTGCCCACCTTCCCCAAACAATTGATTTGCCACAATTTAGGAATGAGTCAGCTTCCCAATCCACCCAACCGATTTAAGCCCGATCCTCTTCTTAGCACTGTGCTTTGGAGACCTCCTTGAGCTCAACCTCGCCTTAGTGTCATCTCTTTTGTTTTTGTTCTTTCCATTTTCAGGATCTATTTGAGCCATAACCTACTTTAGGGTGGGCAAGAGACCCCCACCCTTGCTTTCGCACGCATCTTCTGCATCAACGTCATTGAACTCGCCAATAAGAAAGGCACCACTGCCCTTGGTAACTAAAATACCCCAACTTTTGATTCCTACAACTCTTTATAGCTAACATCATCAAGGCAAAGCCTTTTTGCCATGCACGGTACTACACTAGCATGTCTTCCTATGTTGCCTTTAGTTTCTCCTCCGCCGAATGGTCCTCTTGTTTAGCATTTGTCAAAATACCAATTTTGTGTCTAGAACTTCAAGATCTCTACGTATGTCATGCAATAGATTTATGTCTAGTGGAACCTGGATAGCTTTGCTCTTGTCCATAGCTCTTGTTAGATCGGATCAGGAAATTGACAATGCAAGAAAGTAAAGGACACAGATTTACGTGGTTCACTAACATAATGTGTGTTAGCTATTCCACGGGCATATACTTTTCCTTCCATCTGATGGTATAAAATCTGTCTTCAGTCATAACAACAATTCTAACTTGATTTGAACTCTCCCTGAAACTACCATATGTATTTAGACTCCCCTTTTGCCTTTGAATACCCCTAAGGGCATGAACCAATCAGAACATTCAGCAAGTTCAAGCAGTGTTAGAACTTTCCATGTGGAACCGGTTTCATGAATGTATAACCAAGATTATCAACAGTCCCACTTTCTTAACTAGAATCCTCTTCTCTGTTCTCATGAAATGATACCTCAAATCTATGTGCTTAGTCCTGTCATGATGGATTGATCCTTAGCCAAGCATATTGCACCCAGACTGTCACAATAAACCACAACTTGATCATGATGTAAACCCATATCACTAACCTGCCACTTCAGCAATATTCCCTCATTATCAGCTTTTGTAGTCATAGATCTCCTAGTGTCAAAATCTTAAGCATAATCAAAAATTGAAAAGTCAGCCACTAAGCACTTCCAAAACTGATTCCCACATCAGACATACCTTTAAGGTACCAGAAAATCATCTTCACAGCTTGCTAATGTTCCTTCCTAGGTTGCACCATGAACTGGCGGACAGTACTAACAACAAGTACAATCAGGTCTTGGACCATAGCATACATCAAGCTACCTACTATACTAGATGATGTGACTCGAGACTTATACTTTGCATCAATTAGCATATCATCTACGTACAGAACCAGATAAATCATGAAACCATCATCAGTCTTGTTGTGACATACACAACAATCATATAGACTTCTGTCGTAGTCTAGTCCAGTCATGTATCAGTCAGACCTCTTGGACTACTGTCTTGTAGATTGATTTAGTCCATACAATGACTTATTCAATTTAAAAACATTATCTTCTTTGCCTGGAACCTGGAATCCATCTGATTGAGTCATATAAATCTCTTCTTCTAGCACCCTGTATAGAAAAGTTGTATTCACATCTAGTTGCTCAATCTCCAAGTCCTTATGTGCAACTGTTGCTAGTACACCCATATATAGTATGTTCAGCCATTGTGAGAAATATCATTGTAAACAACACCTTCTTTATGTATGAAGCCTCTTGCAACAAGCCAAGCTTTAAATTTAATGCCCTCTGCAAATGATATCACTTCCTTATACTTGAAGATCCACTTGTTTGTATCATCCTCCCATGTGGTCGTCTGACTAGCGCCCAACTCTTATTCCTATCAATGGACTCCATCTCATTTATCAACAAACCATTAAGGAGATTCGCCACACAAAACAACCTCTGTGTAGGTAAGAGGCTTACTCATATCCACATATTCAGCAAACTGGAAAGCATAAACCACCATATATCCTCAAAGTCATACCTCATTGAAGGTATTCATGCACTTTCTCTCTTTGGTCTATCAGAAGCTATAGACGGTTGAGCCTGTGCATTGGACTCTTTGGTCTATCAGAAGCTATCGACGGTTGAGCATGTGAATTGACACATAAGAAACATCCACATGTTTATTTTCTCCACCTTGATGTTGTACATGAATTTCTATAGTGTTTTGGAGCTTTGCCTGATTATCAACATTCCTACCATCTTTTGAAACAATAACCTTCAACGTGGAGTTAAACATGAATTTCTCATTAAATATTTCCTATTAAGTGTAACTTTATGCTCATAAGGTGATCAAATTAAACATGAAGTCCATATGATTGTTGTGTGTATCACAACAAGGTGGAGGATGGTTCGATGATCTATCTTGTTCTTTATGTAGATGATATGCTCATAGCCGGGAGGTCAAAGTCTGATATCCAGAAGTTAAAGGGGCTTCTCAGTGCTGAGTTTGAGATGAAAGATTTGGGAGCTGCTCAGAAGATCTTGGGTATGGAGATTTACAGGGACAAGTCGAAGAAGAAGCTTTTCTTGTCACAGAAGACCTACATCCAGAAGATACTGTCGAGGTTTGGCATGTCTTCAACAAATCCCTTAAATACTCCTAGTGTTTCAAATGTTCATCTATCCTCAGCCTATGCACCGCAGTCAGAGGCTGACAAGGAGTACATGTCGAGAGTCCCATATGCTAGTGCAGTAGGTAGCTTGATGTACGCTATGGTATGCACTAGACCTGATCTTGTACATGCTGTTAGTGTTGTCAGCAGGTTTATGATACAACCTGGGAAGGAGCATTGGCAGGCTGTGAAGAGGATCTTCCGGTACCTTAAGGGTACACCTAATGTGGGGATTAGCTTCAGAAGTGATACAGAGTGCTTAGTGTCTGGGTATTCTGACTCGGACTATGCTAGAGATGTTGACATGAGGAGATCGATGACCGGTTATGTATTCACTCTTGGGAGTTATGTAGTGAGCTGGAAGGCAACTTTGCAGTCGGCGGTGACATTGTATACTACTGAGGCAGAGTATATGGCGTTGACAGAAGCTGCTAGGGAGGGAATATGGTTGAAGGTACTGGTTGGTGATCTTGCTCTACATCATGATCAGGCAGTGGTGTATTGCGACAGTTTGAGTGCAATATGCTTGGCCAAGGATCAATTCCACCATGAGAGGAATAATCACATCGACGTGAGGTATCATTTCTTGAGGACAGAGAAGAGGATTAAGGTGAAGAAGGTTGCCACCGCGGATAATCCTGCTGATATGTTCACGAAGCCGGTTCCACATGGCAAGTTCCAACACTGCTTGGACTTGCTGAATGTCTTGAGTGGGTGACTCCGCCATGCGGGGCATTGATGGCGGGAGAGAGAGATAGAAGGAGCAGAGTACATCAGAGATTTCAGAGGAAGAGGATTCAAGTCAAGGTGGAGATTTGTTGATGTGACTTGAATCGGACTATCAGCGAGTGGGGTCCAGGGGCAACGCCCCGGTGGGGGTGCGGGGGCAACGCCCCCGGCCCACGGTGTATGGGCTCAATTTTATTTGGGTTCGGGTTCTAGGCCTGGTCTGTAACCGTTTCCTTTGCCATATTGGATTAGGTTTAGACCCACATGGAGAAGTACTATAAATACTTCTCATACTCCTCTGTAATCTGTAATCTCCTCGATAGAGTGAAACTGACTCTCTCTCTCGCCCGTGGACGTAGCTAACACACATCGTGTTAGTGAACCACGTAAATCGTGTGTCGTGTTTTTCGATTCTCGCTTTCGTATTCTCACTTTATCGATTCCGGCGTTTCCCGATCCGTAGCAGCGCGTTTATAACACCTGCCCCAGTCGTCGTCATCGCTTTCTCAGACGCCAAGTTCACCGTAGGGGAAGCAAGCACCTGCCGTGCCACAGAGGGGAAGAATTGACACAAAATGCACGACCCAACGATGGGCGAGTTTCTCCCTCACTTGTCTCATGCCTGCTCTCTCCCTCATTTGCATCCTGGCCATCCTGCCTACTTCCCCGGTCATAATGGAGAACGTGCCTGCTCTCTCCCACACTCGTCTCCTGCCTGCTTCCGTGGCGCTGCTTCCTGCCTCAATTCGATTGATTGAAGATGGAGGGAGCTTTTATTTTCCCTTTTCTTCTCTGCTCTTGCGTCATCTTCGAGTCCCCTTTCCCAAGTCGGTTATTGAGGGAAAATCAATTGAAATCCACACCCAATTAAAACCCCCAAAATCCTTATTTCGGTTACACCCAGTTCCGCCACCATTCTGTGTTAAACGTTTGCAGGCTATTCTATTTTCCATTGGCGCCTCAGAGGACGAACGATTCCTCTCCGTTTCCGCATCGGGCCACAAGCCCGCTTCCCCTTTCTTTCTCTCGTCTGGGATTTAAGCCCAACGACCAAACTCCCCATTTCCTTTTCTTTCCTCTCTTCTCAACTCAGTCCCAACCGATCCCTTCCTTTCTTCCTTTCATCATGGGCTTAAGCCCATACCCTCTTCTTCTCCTTCTCTTTTCTGCTCATCCCTGAGCCGCCCAGTTAGCAAGGCTCAGTCGGGCCCAGCCTGCCTTGGTTGGGTCTTGATCCACAACCCATCTTACATTCGTAACTTTGTCGTTTAATATCAAAATTCGTCACCATTTGAACCGTTTATTCACATTTTGAGTCCCATTAGATATTACTGTTGATTTTGACAAACTTTCTCAATGGTATAATGGGAATTTTTTATTTTGGAAAGAGCGGCGTGTAACATTTCCTCCCCCTTGAAATAATTTCGTCCGCAAAATTGAAACTGTAACCTCAGTCTTTGGACTAAGACACCTTGCCTTGGTTGGGGTGTCACATTTTCCCCTCGTTAAGGAAAACTTCGACCTCGAAATTTGTTCATCGTAACTTCCCGAAGCCTCCTTCTTTACATCTTTTATCTCGATGGTGGTCTCCTTATTTTCCAAGACTTACCGACGACCTAGTTCCCTAGGTCCACGATTCCTCTTCTTAGGGGCATATTGTATCCAAAGGGATCTGTCAGTCGATTTATGTACATGAACATGCCTCCTCCTAGCTTTGACATATTGGTCCTTTGAAATCTTATCAGGCTCCCTATGACCTACTTAATTCCTCCCTTGATTTGCTTATGTGCCCCTAGCTTTGCTTAAAGTCTAACTTTCCACTGCTCCTTGGGATCGTAGCCCTAAATTCAATTCTCGTGAACTTAATGAACCCTTCTGCCTCCTTTCCTCTCGATGATGCCAACCATTTTTCGTAACTCCTTGCCTATTGTCCGTCGACGTCTTAGAGACTTGCGTCTCCGTGAAACTTATACTAATCAGCTTGCATCTCCGAAGGCTGTGAGCAATCTTGGATCACCTCCTCTCGCTCATGAAAAGTGGATCCACCGTGTGATCCTCATAAGAATCCGCTGCCTCTCCTTCCCGAGATGTATCATAGACTCATGGGGGCCTACTTAGAGTTAGAGTTAGTTTCTTTATCATGATTAGAGTATACTGGAGATTCTATAAATACTCAAAAGAAACTTTTGACTCGTTTGGCCAAACATTTAACTTGAAACTCCTTTTTCCTTTCATTTAAAAACAGAAGCCTTGAAAAAAACTCAGACCGTCACTCCAATATTTCTTGGAGACCAAGGAACAGAGAAATGCCGGCTATGATACCAAAAAGAAACACCGCAATCCTTTTTACCAAACCAAAATACTCGTAGCTCCGGAGCCAACCAAAATAATGTTCAAAAACTTCAACAAATACAACCGAATCATTTCCAAAAGAAACTAAAATGAAATGCCCTAAACACTTGGGCGACCATAATCATAAACATAAATAACTAAATGATTCTAACTTTGACTCCTTACTGAGCTTCTAGGGATCTCTTCAATGCTGTTGCGGGTGCTGACACACCATTCCTCCCCTCGATTACTCATCTGCTAACCCTTCCTCTACATGGTGAGTGAGAAGGAGTCAGTCTCGTCGAAACTACAACTTAAGGTCCTTGTCTTAAGTATTTCCTTAATAATTGACGTTATTAGAATTTTCTCTACTCCTATCCTTAACCCATACACATAATTACTAGGGACCAACATGTTACGTCTCGCCATCCGGTGCCCCTACCTCGAAAGAAATGGTACTGTGTTATATCTCACCGTCCAACACCATGCCCGGTCAACAACTGCATTACGTCTCGCCGTCCAGTAGTGACCCAAAATACATGAACAACTACCGCGTCCAGTAGTGATCCAACCGCCCGGGGGTTCCATTACTTTAATTCTATCATCCACACATTCATACACACACACACACAAGCACACCACTTGCCTCCATCTTCAGTAGGCGGTGGGATACCTCAAATAAGTAAATGCAAATAACTCGTAACTTAACGAATACAACTTAAAATAAAAACATAATCTAGAAGGATTTCGACTGAGATTTTACCCCCTTTACACTAACCTCATTTTCCGACCTTGATTGATCGACACGACCCCTCTTTACTACCGGTGGATCCATGGAAACATACGAAACTGCACGATCAATCTTCTTATACTTATCCTCCTTTTGCACTTCCTCCTATTAAATATTTAGGCAAAACTTAATACTCCTTCCAATAAGCGTTAATAGCCAAACGACATCTAATTTGGTTGATTCTTATAGGTGTCAAAACAAAACCTGACCCGACTAACCCGCCCGATCAACCTGACCCGCAACCCGAATTGACGAAAAGTCAATAACCCGTTACCCGCCCGACCCACAACCTGATTGACCCGCAACCCGACTAACCCACAACCCGACTGACCCGCAACCCTATTAACTGAACCCGATTGACCCGCAACCCAATTGAACCCGCAACCCGATTAACCCGAACCCGATTGACCCGAACTCGACTAACCCGCAACCCGACCGACTCAACCCGAACTTCACCTAATCCACTTGAATCATTATTATATTATATAATACATAGTTTTTCAAAAAAAAAAATTTATTCTAAACTTAGATAAAATTATCTCTTCATTTCATATAGGAAATTTAAAAATATGAATTTCACTTGATAATATGTAATTTAAGAAAATTAAAAAAATTGAAATATGAAGCTCACTTGTGCACTAAGTTCTTTAACAAAATTTAAAAAATAAATATAAAATATAAAATCAACACAATGTGAATATTAATAATTAATAATTGAGATCATTGACAATATTAATATAATATATAAATTAAAATTTTAATAAATTTAACTATTCAATAAAGTTATCACTTAAATATAAATAAAGTAAAGCAATGTATTTGATAATTTGGTGCTTTTAAAATAATAGTAAAATTTTGATATATTCAATTTTTTTTATGAATCGTTGGGATCTTCATTCATCCAAAAAGGGGGTATTCAACTTTTTGAGAAGAGAAAGAAGAGGGAAATTATGTTATTTGAATTTTTTAGAAAAGAAAAAAGGGGAATTTTGGTGGTTTTGATTTGTGAGAAGTGAAGAAGTGGGAAAGTTTGGTTCTTTTGATTATGAAAAAGAAATAAGAAGGGAAATTTTGAGTTTTCAACTTTTTGTGAAAGGAAGGAAGGAAGAGGGAAATTTGGTTTTCCAAATGGAAGAGAAAAAGAAGGGAAATTTAAATTTGATTCTTTCAATTTTATGGAAGAGAAAGAGGAGAGAAAATATAGTGTTTCTAATTTATGGAAGGAGAAAGAAGAAAGAAGAAAATAAATTTCGTGTTTACCGCAATCATTATTTTAGAAAAATTCACTTAATTTGTCTACTTTTGTTCTATACTTTTATATTTATTACAATTTCAACACTACAGGATCGTTATTTTACAACACTTAGTAAAATTTTCGCACATTTAAGTTGTGTTCAAGTTGAACTTTCATTTAAAAATGGTTATTAAACTTGGCATGTTAAGTCTTACGATTACAATACGTCAGTCGGGTTGCGGGTTTGAAAATTTTGGTTAATCGGGTTGCGGGTCACTTTGGAATGGAAAATGAGAGGGAAGTTTGGATGGGAATTTTGGAATGGAAAATTTATGGGCGTGTGAATATGAGCCAACAATTATACTAAAGTTGATAAGTAATTTTTGATGGTTCGTTTTTTAGGATATAAAGTATATGATTAGGGTATAGGGTTGACTGCTCTAAAACACAACACCTAACAATGGCCAAGCATAACCAATGGAAGGGACTGCAGTATAGTGGCTCAAGTGATAAATATCGAATCCACGGGTCTCTAGAGTTACTATTACTCAGCTTCAGTTTATTATTTAGCAAACCAGATCAAGATGAAAGAACTAAAACTACTCTAGCAAACTACAGTTAAAGTTAATCTAATTACAGGTTGGGAACTCACTTAGGTATTATTCCCCCTAGCCACTAGCCAGACAAACAATTGATGATTTCCAACTTGTTTCACTTTCATTCACAATGCGGAGAATCCTTGACTAGACCTTGAGTCTCGACTAAAGGAACAAGGCCCTCTTGAGTCAATTGCTTAGAGGGACGTATCCTTCTCTAGAACAACTGATCAAGGCGTTATGAACTAGACTCCCTCTATCGAAAGAGGTTCTCAATCGATACAAAGCAGTGAATCAACCCTCGACTAAAGCAATCGATCCACTACTATCAATCTATGGTGCTCT